GGCGGAGGGGGCGGCGGGGGGGGCAGCGCCTGCTGCAGCCGGTACCGCTGGGTGTTCAGCCGCCGGGGCATCATGTGAGGGTATGGCTGTGGGGAGAGACAGCGCACTCAGAGCTGTGCCAGCCCCATGGCATCCCCCCACCCCTCCACAAAACGGGCACTCACCACACCAAATGGCAGTTCTTGGTGCAGTGGGTCGTGGGGGAGGTAATGCAGCGGCACAGAGGGGGACAGCGTGGGAGTGTGGTGGGATGAGGGGTACGTGAAGCCCGCAATGGGGTGCTGCTCCCCTCGCAGGTCCACGTCATTGTCTATCCTCTGCAGAGGCTGTGGAGGGAACAGTTAGGCTGGGAGGGGTGTCCCAAATTACACCCCCCTGGACAATAGCAGGACAGAAGCACCCTGGGCATCCCACACATCAACTCCATCTCAGGCCCATGGGCGCTGCAGGAGGACAAGACCCCAAGGTGGTATTCTTTGGGCCGTGGGGTACACTGTGTCCTCAACCCTCACCCCCACCCCAACTCACCATGCGCGGGTGCTGGGCTTGGAGAGGTACAAACTGCCCCAGGGGGGCCATGTGGGGCGGCTGGTGGGGGGGCACTGGCGGCGGAGGCGGGTGCAGGATGTAATGGTCGCTGGAGATGATGGGGGGGAACGTCTGGTAGGAGACGGGGAGCTGCTGCATGGCGCATGCCTGGATCAGCTGTGGGGGGAGAGAAAGAAAAACAGGGGTCAGACACCCACTATGGGCACGGCTGCACCGCTGCCCCCTCTCCAGGGCCTCTGACAGACCCCGTGCCCTCAGAAACTTGCACTCCAGTGGGCTTGGGTACCCACGCGACCCCTGGGCACCCACAGCCCAGGCTGTCCCCAGGTGTCCCTGGCCATGACTCACCGGGGGCGGGAGGCAGCAGAGCGGGTAGTGCTGTCCACTGAACATCACTGAGCATGCTGGGAGCTGCTGCGTGCTGCACCCAGGGATGTGCTGGCCGGCGTGGATGGGGAAGCCTTGCGTCGTGACGGTGGTAACCGTGTAGGAGAGAGGGACAGGTCCCTGGTGCACCTGAGGACAAGGCACCAAGGGCACGGTCAGAGTACAGCCCCGGGTCAGCTGTCCCTGTCCTAGCACGGTGGCAGCAGGGTGCTGAGCACTGGCACACAGCCACCCGGCATCTCTGTCCCACTGGTGGGGGTGTGTGGTGTGTGTCTGAGTGCAGGCTGGGTTCAAGGAAAGGTCTGTACCCCACTTTGCTCCCCGCAGACAGGTTAGCATGGCCTCCAACCCAGAACCACTACCACGGTTGATGGTGACAGTTGTGACATGAACAAACATATGAGGGGAACTGTCCCCAGCCCCAGGGAGCAGGGACCACCCTGGGCACACCCAAGCTGGCAGGGGGACCCCAGGGTTTAAGTACTCAGAGGAAAAGAGCACTGGCAGCCTCAGGGCTGGGTGCTCCTAGCAGCAAGCAACTGGCCAGAGGGGACCCAGGGACGTGTCTTGGGACCACCCCAGACACCAGCCCGGGGCCACCACAGTCACCCTTAGGACTGGGGCTGGGGGCTGCAGCACCTACCTGGTCATGCAGATCCACCATGAATGGGTTCTGGTGGGGTGGGTGAGCTGCCGGGTGAAGCATTCGTGGCGGCGTGCTGGGGAGAGCGTAGGAGCGGGGCTCATCTACAGGGATGTGCGGCTGCTGGGGGAAGGCAGGGTGCAGCTGGGGCTCATCCTGGCCCAGCAGGGTTGCCAGAGGTCGGTCGCGTCGTCCCCACTGACGCCTGGCAGGGGGGCTGCGGGGCCACCGCAGGAGAGAAACAGAGCAGGAGTGACCCCTGGGCCAGGGGCACCACAGCCCCGGGCAGGGTGGCCGCAGGCGGGTCAGTGGCAGCCTGGCTCCCAGGGCACTGTGCTGGGCCAGGGTCCCTGCCAGGCCAGGGAGCTCCAGAACCGGTTTCTCTGCTCACCCTGCATGTGCCCCCCCACACCCCATGTCCTCAGCACAACAGGGACCTCTGCTCCCCAGGAACCCATTGGCAGGGCCAGGTGGATGAGCTTCCCTGCTGCAATCTCCCCCCCCCATACCCCCAGGAGTTCGTGGCTTGCCCCAGCAGGACCACAAAAACGGGTCCCGTGTCCCCACACACCATGGGTGACAGGGTTCCACACCACCCTGCACCCCATACCTTCGCCGGAGGTGATCGGGGCTGCTGCAGGGTCCCCCCGAGAAACGGCGCTGGTTAAAAGGGGCAGAGGGTGGCCGCCTATTCACTGCCAGTTCCCATGGTCGCATTGGTGACGTCGGGAGGCGGATGGGCACGCGGGACCTCAGGCTCCAGGCAGGGTGAGACACCAACACCTTGGATCCTGCGAGAAGGACAGCAAGTCACGGCACCCCAACCGCCAGGGCTGCAGGGGCTCCAAATACTCTCCGCAGCACCACTACTTTGGGAGAGGGAAGGGAGGAGAAGCACAGGGCGAGGCCGGGACAGCCATTGCACCCACAGAGCAAGGAGGGATCACAGCCCGCCTGACTCCTTTCCCCACAGCCACTCCACGCTGGGAGCTCAGCCACCCACAGCACACAAGTGACTCTGAGCCACCCCAGCACCACTGTCCCCCCACGGCTCAGCCTGCCGCTCCCTCCCCGCAGGGATGGTAACGCTGATGACTGGAGCTCTTACTGCTTCAGGACTAGACCTGCGCCCACCCCATCTCCTGGTGCTGGATGCAGCCCTGGGGAGGGCTAGAAAGAGCCCACCCATCCCACCCCACCCCCCAGGTACCAACCCAGTTACCATCCCTCCACTGTGTGGCCAGAGCCACCCCCCCACGCAAGACACAGACACTGAATGAGAGAGAAGCACTTGTTTTTGGCACAGACAAAAGCAAGCAGCAAAGGGCCCTGTGGGCTGCGGCACCATCCCAGGCTGCTCACTGGCTGACTGGGAGTCTGAACCCGGGGGGGGGGG